GAAGGCATCTCTGCCATTATAACTCAAATGCAAATGTAAAGACTGTAACATTCTTGAAGCGTACAAAGGCAGCACATCAAGCTTCATATTGTGGCATCTTATGCAGTTGAAATAAGATCTATATTGCAACAAAAAAGTCTGATGTCTGTCGTGAACCAAACGCAATGAAAATATTTCCCCGCTCCGAATCTGAAGCATTTTGCTTCGTATACGAATAAAAGACGAATAACAGTTTCAATCTTACCACTTGAAGATATGGTCTGTTTTAGATTGAAACGGTAAGAAATATGGCCTGAATAAAGAAAGAGATATGAGGTGGGTCCAGAATAATTCTGATGTCTCATTTGTTTTGTGGTTTTACTGCTCTCGATATTAGTCTTTGCTAATATTAATCTGCTTTGATGTATTATAATCTATACTTAATATTATAAATGCGAAAGCAACTCTGTCTGTCTGTCTCGCTTTCACGCCTAAACCACTGAACCGATTTTGATGAAATTTGGCATAGAGATAGTTTGAGTCCCGGGAAATGACATAGGCGCGTGGAATTTTGTCTATCACAGAAAAACTATATCGCGCGCGAGACAAAAACTATCCTATGTCCTTTCTCGGGACTCAAACTATCTCTATGCCAAATTTCATCAAAATCTGTTCAGGGGTTTAGGCGTGAAAGCAAGACAGACAGAGTTACTTTCGCATTTATAATATTAGTATAGATAGTATAGATTATTATTTATATCCAATACGTCTAGACATGTTTCTCTGTATGTACCTTTATATCAAAGTCGCCATTCTCATGAAATTCACAAAATAATCATCAATTCTTAAAAATATCAAATTCCCTTTCATAATAACCCAGAATCGCCAAGAAAAATTAAAGCATGATTTATGTAAACTAAAATATACCTTATGCATGATAACAAACCGTGCCCAGGTGGAATGATAATGTGTTTTTTAAGCTCTAGCATCACCGAGACGTTACCTGAATTAATTACGTGCTTAATTAATTTTTTCGTCCAAGCACTGGATGGAAATGCACGGTGCAGGCTTAAGAGGATTTTTACAATTTTATTTTTAAAATGTTTTACTCGATCACGATGCTTGCATAAATATTCTTCTTTACTTTGGATATTTTTTAATTACTTAACACAATGCTGATAGAAATTTTTTGCGTTATATTTTTTTTAGTTTTTTTATTCACAACGAGGAAGCTCTTGGCCTGCATCTCACTTATTTATTTAAAAAATTAAGACTGCTTACCTGAACAAAGTGTTGTGAACGAATTAACGATAACAAATAAAGTGAATTTGNTGAATTTAACCAATGGTTGTCCACTACCCACAGCTGGACGTAGTTTTATAGTTCATGTGTCAGCTACAAAGAAAAACTGTAAAATTAGGTCACAAATACTAATCTCAATCGTAAAATTTTGTTTATAAATAAATGTATTGCAAAAAACTGCTGTCTGGGCAGTAAATAACTGTCCATACTGTACTTAGTAGGTACTCATTACTATAACTATTAGTCTGGGTCGCACCATCTTATAAATAACTATAACAAAGGTCAAAAGTCTGTCAAAATCCATACAAAAACACCGGTCATAGTTATAGTTTAATTTTTTTTCCTATTCCCTGGAGAGACTATAATATAAGTGTCGGCCCAGTACGCGTAATTTTTCAAATGTATAGATAGACATTTATTATATTCCAAATATTTGCTTTATGTAATTTCTATCAAAGACATCTATAATTAATTTAATTGCTATTGTAAATACGAGTAAAATTGCAATACATACATATTTATGCAATAAATAAATGAATATGAATATGAATAGTTACGGTCAAAGTTAAGGTGGTGCAACTGAGACTCAAACACGATTTGGTGCCAAATAAACAGTTTTTTTCCTTCTTTTTTAAAATAAAACCATTCCTTTTAGAGACGTCACCTTAATTTCTCGGACAGCGCAGTGCGCGTTGGCTTTAGGGGCCGCTGTTAATTAGATTTGATAAGAATCCTGTTTGGTACACACTCCAATACAAATAAATTAAAAAAATGATAAACGAGCCCCTTTGTTTGGTCCAGTCGTTTGTTATTGAGAGAGCTTTGTTTTCAAGAGCGTGAAATCTATTGCATGTTTTGCAAAAAAAAATAGAGCTAGGAGCCTAGGACGTGTTATATGCTTATTAGTATTATGAGATTTATGCCCGTTGTCACCATCAATCCCTAATTTTCGACTGACCCCTATGGCAGCACATAACAGGCATTTTGTTTTCATAGGGGTCACTTAAAAATTAGAGATTGATTGTGAAAATGGGCATTATTTATTTAATTTTTAGCGTTAAGAGTCGCATCTCAAACTAATTTGAAAATTTTATATAAGTATAATTTTCAAATTATGAGCTTCTGTCGATATACACTCGCGAGCAAAAGTATGGAATCACTTACATGAAGTTGTTTCCACGCGATCTTGTGTACTAACGAATTTGTTAGGAACAAAAAAAGTGGCACCATTTTAAAGATTAAACTTTTATCTTTAAATTGATACCAAATTAGTTTAAATCACACCAGTATTTAAAAAGATATCCCGGCTGATGTGAAGAAGTAACGAAAAAGACATGTATGAACTGTTTGATACGTCGCGAGTTGCGGCCTATTTACCCCCTATAAAAGCACGCGTTTTCGGATTTTTGCTTTTACACGTTGATTCATACACATCTCCGCTTCTTTTGACTCTTTACCTGGGATTCTACACCTTCAGAAGCAGCAAAAATCATTGCACTATTGCAAGAAGGGCTCAGCCAGCGGGCTGTCGCACGTCAGCGCCACATAAGCCAGTCCTGGGTTTCGAAAGTTTTAAGACGCTTTCGGGAGACTGGTGGCTTTATCTCGAGACCAAGTTCTGAACAGCGCCGGCGCACATCGCAGAGGGAAGACCGTTTTTTCATGTCAACCTCTCTATGAAATCGTCATTTGACTGGAATCGACGTCCAGTAAGAGCTCAGAAATGTTCGTAGGATAGCTGTTAGCGAGTAGACAGTTTGTCTAAGACATAAGCAATAAAATTTAGGTAACTCCAAAAANGGATAAAGCCACTAGTCTCCCGAAAGCGTCTTGAAACTTTCGAAACCCAGGACTGGCTTATGTGGCGCTGACGTGCGACAGCCCGCTGGCTGAGCCCTTCTTGCAATAGTGCAACGATTTGTGCTGCTTCTGAAGGTGTAGAATCCCAGGTAAAGTGTCAAAAGAAGCGGAGATGTGTATGAATCATCGTGTGAAAGCAAAAATCTAAAAACGCGTGCTTTTATAGGGGTTAAATAGGCCGCAACTCGCGACGTATCAAACAGTTCATACATGTCTTTTTGGTTACTTCTTCACATCAGCCGGGATATCTTTTTAAATACTGGTGTGATTTAAATGAATTTGGTATCAATTTAAAGATAAAAGTTTAATCTTTAAAATGGTGCCACTTTTTTTGTTACTAACAAATTCGTTAGTACACAAGTTCGCGTGGAAACAACTTCATGTAAGTGATTCCATAGTTTTGCTCGCGAGTGTAGAACTGAAGTTTAATTTTAATTCTTGTGTCTGCGAGATGTGTGAATTTAACTCAACTCTGGGTCGAAAGTAGGTCTTCATTTATCACATGAAACAACCGTAATAATATCTAGATTTATCACTGTTGCCAACTCCTTATTACCTACACTACATTAACCTATAAGAGTTTTGAATTGTATGTTTAACATATTACATACTTATGAAAATACACATTTATAATACTATGTAGTAGTAGGTATGTATTACAATTTTGTACTCTTATTTCTTTACCCAAGTATTTGTTAAACATAATTACCATTCATGCGCTGAACGCTATAAGAGCCAAAGCGCACGATACGTTGCGGCGCGACTGCCAAGATTTCGTCATATCGCGCGTCGCGGCACCGCTCTTGTGCCTCCCACAGATAATTCTATGTAAGGTGACGCAGTGACACCGCTCCGGCATCGCACCGCCGCCGCAACGCAACGCCGGCCGCCGCAACGCACCGTGGGCTTTGGCTATAACGATGAGTCCCCATTAGTCCGTTGCGCTGCGTCGCGTCATAAAAAATATATGGAAAACGTCGCAGCGTCTACGCAGAGTAACGGACTTATGGGGCCTCACCCTAATTCGTCTCTTAGAACCGAAATGTATAAACCGGCTCTCGAAATATACGCGAACTCAGAGGCAAACAATCTCGGAGCGTCTAATCAAACCCTCATGGCACCTTAATATTTGAAGTTTGGGCCCCAGGTAACTCGGATTGAACTCTTGTATGCTCAGACTTGGAGATGCGCTCGTTATTATAAGGTTTGCTATATTAATATGGATTTCAAGATGATAAAAATCTGTATGTTGCGAGTTAGTTTTAAGCGGAATAGTTTTGTGAAAAGTACGCGTCTAAATTATTAAGATTTTATAGAGATTTTTGCAATTATGCATTATACCTTTGTATGTATATTTCAAATTGGATCATGATTTTCTACTGTAAGAACAAAGGCCTCAGAGAGTTTACCCTGTTTATTGTTTATCAAGTAAGTATACACTTCAGAAACATGTAAATGTCTAAGTTCAAAGTTACTTCCATTCTCCATCCCCCATCTTCGTCTTTTTCCCAAGATAAGAATAAGATGTGCGATAAGTACCTACGACAAGTACCCGGACTACCAAATAAAAAAAGTTGTAGTAAAAATTTCGAATGATTTTTTTTGAACTTGGTAAATATAGAAAATCGTTCCTCAAACTTTTTGCTGAACCATCTATGTATAAGGAGGCGACTAACATGGCAAACATGGGTTGAACACGCAATATTCCATATTGAATTTCTTCAGGCCGCACGAGCCATAAAAATATAAAAAAAATCTTCTGATTTGTAATGTTTACACCTACAAAGTTTTTCTCTCGCACCTTAAATAACTATCAAAGGAGCAATCGCGATGGGTCGTGTCGTCACAGCATTACTCACGGTCAGCTGGGCGGCGTCTGCGGGTGTGCGGCAGATGCTGTAGGCCGCACGCACGCGGGGCAACTGAAACAAAGATAAAGACGTATGGGTTAAAGATATAAAAGTTGCTCAGGGCTAATTCTGGAGATTTAAGACAGACTTTTTAATGACCCATTCATAATATGGCGACTACATAGGTAACTACTACGTCGCGAGCATTCGTCCTGCTAAACAACGTTCTATTTTGAATTCCCTTTTGATTTTCTTCTGTTTTGTAATGTTTACACCTACAAAGTTTTTTTCTCGCACCTTAAATAACCAAAGGAGCAATCGCAATGGGTCGTGTCGTCACTGCATTACTCACGGTCAGCTGGGCGGCGTCTGCGGGTGTGCGGCAGATGCTGTAGGCCGCACGCACACGGGGCAACTGAAACAAAGATAAAGACGTATGGGTTAAAGATATAAAAGTTGCTCAGGGCTAATTCTGGAGATTTAAGACAGACTTTTTAATGACCCATCCATAAATTTCCGTGCTTTTAAGCGATTTTGTGAAAAATATTATTGGCAGGTAGTTGCTAATTGCTCATAAGATAGGCCCCCTTAATTTAATTTATTGTCCGTGGTGCATAATCTTTTCTTAAAGGTTTTAAACCTTTGTTTGTCACCTGTCATCCGTTTTGCAATGGAAGGAACTCGAACCTTAATTTCGAACTCCTCCTATGTTCTTCTGATTAATTTCGTTGCGGTCCAATGACAGTTTAACTTTCCCCCGAGACAAACTTGACCTTCATTGGTTGGGTTTTTGTGGCGGTCAAGCTGTAGATCCTGGCTACACAGGAGTTGCAGTGGTGGGAACGAGAGGTGGGAATAGTCCCGTGACCCATTCATAATATGGCGACTACATAGGTAACTACTACGTCGCGAGCATTCGTCCTGCTAAACAACGTTATATTTTGAATTCCCTTTTGATTTTCTTCTGTTTTGTAATGTTTACATCTACAAAGTTTTTCTCTCGCACCTTAAATAACCAAAGGAGCAATCGCAATGGGTCGTGTCGTCACAGCATTACTCACGGTCAGCTGGGCGGCGTCTGCGGGTGTGCGGCAGATGCTGTAGGCTGCACACACACGGGGCAACTGAAACAAAGATAGAGTATGCGTTAATAGAGGTGTACCTGTTGCTTATTGGTTATACTGGAGGTTTTAGAGTTCGTGCAGAAAATATGAAATGTTCATAATGTGGGAACATATTTAGATGTCAGAAAAAAAAAATAATATAAAAAGATGCTAATGTTCGTCATACATCAGTATTTACTAGTGATTGATTTTATGATAAATTACTAATAAAAAATTGTACAAAGGAAAACAGGAAAGAATAAGTGAAGTAACGTATTGAAATTAATAAGCAAACAATTTAACAGCCTTATAACCAAGTATTGCCAGCTAGGTTCACCCCATTACACCTTAGTGGAAAATTATTTTTTCCCAACCGCTCAATGTGCGAGCAGCCTAACAGGGTTGTCACACCGACGCAACTAGACCGGAAGTGATAGGAGCTCGGTGTGTCACTGCACTTATATAATATAGGGGCACAATACAGCGTTATTTACTGTCTATCTACACTCTACCTACATCATACAACATGACCCACTTCTTTATCTAAATAGAAATATTTCTTATGATATCTTATTCTAGTTTCAAGGCATAGGTTTTGTGCAATTGCAATTGTGTTTTCTTAAAATGATTCAGAAGAATATTGATTATTTTCACTATTTGTTTGAACTCTACGATTGTGACCATAAACGCTTCTTTTTACTATTTTTTAAAAATAAATTATGTTTATGTACAATCATAAAGCTCCGCGCTTTAGGATAATCCCAAATGATTTGCAATATTTTGCTATTTCACTCGTAATTCATTTTGTGTTTACAATTGATTATGGGTAAGAAATATTAAAAACAAAACATAACGATAAAATTGTTTAGGATAGAAAATTCTGTGGAAAACAAAAAATATGTGTAATAAAAGACAAAAATATCAACAGAACAGACCACGAGCCAATAGCTCGAGTTTTCACAGTGCAAACTCATGGAGGTGACACTGGAATAAACAGCATCGATTTCAAAAGACAGTCGCCAGAAAAAGCATTTGTGCATTTTCCACATTTTTATTTATCTCTTGAGTCTTGTACTAATTTCAGGTTTAATAAGTAGGGGTTTTCTTACGCTTGTAACGTAGGTAACTAGTTTTCCTAATACTCGTAAAGCCTGGTCCGTGAGCACGTAGAATTTTGTCCAATGACCCCAAGCTACCCATCCTTATCGCTCGCGCGTAATTATGTTGCTGTCGCGCTCGCACACTCACTGCGGGCGCCCGTCGCACAGTCGCGACAGCAATATAATTACGATAGTTATAGTTAATTAATGATAGTTACTATAGCATTGATTTGTGCCTTTTCATTGTCCCCTAGACCAGTGAACCAGCCAGTGTCTGGCAAAAGCATACGTTTTCAGAGGTTGGATAAAAACCTTCAAGCACTTCTGACGGCGACTGCCCCTACTTCTTCATGCATAACCTGTCTTAAGTTAACACCCTAGCGACTGGATATCTAGTGGTGAATGTGACGGTCGATAAACAAAGATATTTCACACCTTTTTCGATGTCGACATGAATTCTTCGGTGTCGCGCGCGGAGTCTCTATCGAATTCAAAATTGAGAAACAATTTTTTCTTATCTTTTCTAGGATTTTGGCAAATTTTATTATTATCTAATAAATAAGCCTATACTTAATCGATAAAGCATGATTAAATTGCTTCCATTAACTTTGAAGCTCGTTTGAAAAGGGGCGATGTTACAAGAAATAAGAGCAATGTATTGATATAGTGATTTGAAACTTATACAATTTTAGTTTGACCCCGAAGTAGCTTTGATAATTATGTAGTTAAAAAATTCATGACCGTTTTCGCCAGCAATCCCTAATTTTTAAGTAACACATAAAAATAATTTTGTTTTCATATGGGTCACTAATAAATTAGGGGTTGGTGGTGAAAATGGGCTTAAGTTTTTTTTTCGAATGCCTTTAATTAGGTAATTCTTAAATTCTTTAAAACTTTCCCCGAGACTCAACCTTTTGGCTGTCAAGCTGTAGATCCTGAAAATACAGGACTTTAGAAGTGATAATACAGTGTGAGTCACGTTAAAGTGTACATATAAAAATAGATTAATCTAGACCTATTTTTATCACATCAAGGTCTAAGGTCAATATCAAGGTCACTGAGTCCTTTATCAAACCAAATATCGTTTCTAATCGTAGATTGATAGCTCTTTATAAATTATGGCCTCCTATAAATTTATCGGTCGCCTTTAGAATTTAGATTGAACGACAATGGCTCCGATTCTGTGAATTGTGGTTATCTGACTTAATTATACTTCGTCGCTGCATCCTCGAGATTTTCATATTTACCAGGTAGTCCACTTCTCATTGTACTAGNCTCAACGTGTTAAACGGAATAGTTTTTGTGAAAAGTACGCGTCTAAATTATTAAGATTTTATAGAGATTTTTTGCAATTATGCATTATACCGATGCATACTGTAAGATCAACGCCCTCAGAGAGTTTTCCCCGTCTATGGAAAGTCACTTCCATTCTACATCTTCGTCTTTTTCCCAAGATAAGAATAAGATGTGCGATAAGTACCTACGACAAGTACCCGGACTACCAAATAAAAAAAGTTGTAGTAAAAATTTCGAATAATTTTTTTTTAACTTGGTAAATCGTAGAGAATATGGCAAACATGGGTTGAACACGCAATATTCCATATTGAATTTCTTCAGGCCGCGCGAGCCATAAAAAATATTAAAAAAATCTTCTGTTTTGTATTGTTTACACCTGCAAAGTTTTTCTCTCGCACCTTTAATAACTATCAAAGGAGCAATCGCAATGGGTCGTGTCATCACAGTATTACCACAGAATAATAATTAAGTACTACGTACAGAAGTTTTACTTCGCGAAGGTATTTAAAAAAATGTATGCTCAATGTACAATATTGTGTAATTTAGCCTGTCTCAAGAGTCAAGCACCATTTTGTTGACAAACGTCAGTGATCGGCACTGCGCCGAAGCTATAGGGCTGACTTCGGTAAAATGATGTGACGTGAGGTGCCAAACTGCGGAAAATGGCGGAGGAAATACATGATTTAGCATGAATTATCGTGAATAATATTAATATAAAGTGATGCTAATGTTCGTCATACATCTGAGCCCCGATTACGGTAATTTTTAACGTCAACAATCCAGACACGCTTCTCGATTCTGCGATACGATTGGTCGTTCAACAGCGTACGTCAGCTGTTTTGACCAATCGTATCGCAGAATCAGAAACGCGTCTGGATTGTAGACGTTATAAAAGTTACCGTAATCGGGGCTCAGTATTTACTAGTGATTTTATGATAATCAATACTCGTAGATAAAAAAATTGTACTATCGGCAACATTGTTAACTGCCTATTGCCGGTTATGTCGTCTCGTTCTATCGCAAAGACTCACCATTTGATGAGAGCGTGAGCAAAAACGGAAACCGTGTGTACAAAGGAAAGTCAGAAAGAATAAGTGAAGTAACGTATTGCGTTTATAATATTCATAGTTTGAAAATAAGCAAATAATTTAACAACCTTACCTATAACCAGGTACACCCCAACCAACTAGGTTCACCCCATTACCCCTTAGTGGAAAATTCTCTATTTCCAATCTTTCAATGTGCGAGCAGCCTAACAGGGTTGTCACCCCGACGCAACCAGACCGGAAGTGATAGGGGCACGGTGTGCTACTGCACTTATACTATAATAATATAGAGCCACAATACAGCGTTATTTACTGTCTACACTCTACATCATACAACATGATCCACTTCATCTAAATAGAAATAATTCTTATGGATTTATTCTTTTAGTTTTAAGGCGCTAGATTTTGAACACAATATTGTTATTGTCACTTCTTTGAACTCTATAAACATGATCATCTTTCATTACACAAGATCTGCTATTGATGTTAGTTGATTATTAAGATTACTTTCCATTTTTTTCTGTGCCTTACTATTTTTGTGGAGCTATTTATTGACTTGATATATACCTAGAGTATTATCTATACTAATATTATAACCTATCATATACCATCTATACTAATACTAATTTGAACGCGCTAATCTCAGAAACTACCGGTCCGATTTCAAAAATTCTTTCAGTGTTAAATAGCCCATTTATTGAGGAAGGCTATAGGCTATATACCATCACGCTACAAGTAATAGGTGCAGAGCAAAAATGAAAAATATTGCGAAAACGGGTTTTCACGCGTACGAAATCGCGGGCACAGCTAGTTGTAAAATGTTTCTTATTTAATTTCAATTTAAAAATGTAAAAATTAAAATATAGCGTAAAGATGGAAAATGTTAGGGAAAACATAAAATATGTGTATTAAAAGACAAAAATACCAACAGAACAGACCACGAGCCAATAGCTCGAGTTTTCGCAGTGCAAACTCATGGAGGTGACACTGGAATAAACAGCATCGATTTCAAAAGACAGTCGCCAGAAAAAGCATTTGTGCATTTCTATTGAAATTTTCCACATTTTTATTTATCTCTTGAGTCTTGTACTAATTTCAGGTTTAATAAGTAGGGGTTTTCTTACGCTTGTAACGTAGGTAACTAGTTTTCCTAATACTCGTAAAGCCTAGTCCGTGAGCACGTAGAATTTTGTCCAATGACCCCAATTATGTTGCTGTCGCGCTCGCACACTCACTGCGGGCGCCCGTCGCACAGTCGCGACAGCAATATAATTACGATAGTTATAGTTAATTAATGATAGTTACTATAGCATTGATTTGTGCCTTTTCATTGTCCTCTAGACCAGTGAACCAGCCAGTGTCTGGGAAAAGCATACGTTTTCAGAGGTTGGATAAAAACCTTCAAGCACTTCTGACGGCGACTGCCCCTACTTCTTCATGCATAACCTGTCTTAAGTTAACACCCTAGCGACTGGATATCTAGTGGTGAATGTGACGGTCGATAAACAAAGATATTTCACACCTTTTTCGATGTCGACATGAATTCTTCGGTGTCGCGCGCAGAGTCTCTAGCGAATTC